GCGGATAATATCTCACCAATGTGGAGACATGTGTATATGTGGTAACCCCCCTAGTACACAACAATTTGTGCATGGACAGTTTCTGATTTCAACAAGCAAGCTATCCCTTTCTCTATGGAGTTGTTTTTAGTGGATTGTAAGGTAAACTTTTTAAGGTAAACTATTGTTGATTTAGTTAAAATATATGTTATGATGATTTAGTGTTTTGATTGTTGAAAAATTTTAAAATATTAAGAAATTCTCTATGAGTGTCTTTGAGCATAGGTCTAATTTGACCTATAGGGGAGGATATATATAAGGTTTACTTTAAGACTTGAGTTTCATAAATTCATATCTTAAAGAAATCTATAGAGAAGTTAGAGAGGAATACTTTGGATCCAAGACCTTTCTTCTTCCCTTTTTCCTTTTGTGTAAACTTGGTGGACGAGTAGTGATCCTAACTCCTTAGCTAGGAATCAGAAGTGAGATTGAGCTATGCGAAGCTTTTCAAAGTTAACTTAGAGCTCATTTTTGTTCTTCCTCTTTTATGTTACATTTTGAGGCAAGAGAAGCTAGAACTTGGATCTTAATTGATTTTATTGTTGTATGATTGTTGGATTACATTTAAAACGTGGCTATGTTAATGATTGAATGATGAATTTTGAATGTTGAGGATGTTAAATCAAAAGACGTACGATTTTGAATTCCTTAGAAAGTTTTAATAGTAATAAACTCAAGATATTTTTCAAGAGAATTTTTTTCTTCAGATCTTACTAAGACAAATAGTAATTATTTTGATATCAAGTCTTTTAGATAAATTACTTCATCTATAAGACAAATACATTTAATATATGTTATTTATAATTTCTGATAATCAAATTATATTTGCCTATGTTATTCCTTAATAGATTAAAAGGAATAAAAAGTTTATTTGACACTCAAACTACAAAAAAAACCTAAGGCCAATGCTATATCAGAACAATTTTCAAGATCATAGATAGTCTTTCAAAGATTGGGATCCTAAGGCCACCACTATATCAGAAGTATATGACATCAAAACTCTTATACTGAACGAACTCTTAAAAGTCTTGAGAGTTCATGAAATTCATTTGAATAATAAGAACTAGAAACATGCTTATTAATTTTGCAAGGACGACAACGATAATAATTATAATGACAATGAAAATAATTATATATTTATAATGACAAATACATTAAAAGTTTTATTTGATTTCAGAATAATTTTTCATTATTACTACCTTTACAAATAATTATAGATATACCATATTATTTTTTTATTTTTTATGCTTGAAGATTCATATAGAAAATTATTTTTTAATATGAAAATATTTGAAATAAAGAAAGTTAACATCAAGATTATAATTTTGTAATTCTTTATAAAAACTATTGAAAAATAAAGTAAGAAGATGCTTTATACAACATTTTTATTTTACAAAATATATTCTTATATTAAATAAAATAAATAATTTTAAATAAAGTTAAAACTTAACACATAAAAAATATAAATGTATTTTTTAATTTATTTATTAAACAACTCTTAATTTACATGGGTTTTTAAATTAGGAAAAAGTAAAAACAAGTTTTATTTATTTTTTATAGACTTATTTTTATTTTTTACTTAAAAGAAATAACTTTTTTAAGCCCAGGAATAGTTGAGATTTTGGGATTTTGAAAAATTTAAGCCTAGAGAATGTTAATCGTTCATTGACATACTTCCTGGCCATAATAGTAATTGGCTTCTTATGTATTTTAAAGGTATATTTTAAATGTATGTTTTGTAATTTATTTATGAAACAACTTTCAATTTAAAAGGGTACTTTCAAATTAGAAAAAAGTAAAAGCTAAGAAACGACTTTTTTTTTATGCTCTTATTTTTAACTTTTACTTAAAAGAATTAACTTTTTTAAACCCAAAAAATAGTTACGAACCAAAAAAAAGAATTAACTTTTTTAAACCCAAAAATAGTTGAGATTTTAAAAACTTTAAGCCTAGAGAATGGTAACCGTTCATTGACATACTTTATAACAGTACTTGTCTTTTTATGTATTTTAAAGGTATATTTTGAAAATAGACAATGAGATTAATACACATATAATGACTTATATGGATGATTATAATTGGTAAGTAACTATTGTGATTAAGAAGGATTTTTTTTCCCAATTATATCAAACTGTGTAAACCTTTTGAAATGGCTAAAGAAATCGTTTATATTCTCAAAGCTATAACTACAACACAAATTCTTCCTTTTTTTTTTTTTTTTAATAATCTGTGACTACCTAATATCATTGAATCACCTGCGAAAAAGGATAACTCAAAAAGAAGAAAAAAACTTCATCTCTAATTCTGCAAACGTCCTCAAGGTAATGAATATTCTTTTATAGGATTTCAATTATTATACTGTCATATCTTCATTATATTACGATATACAGAATCATTTATAATATTGCTTTTGAATAATTTGGAAGAATCAATCAGGTTCAACATTATCATACTATAACAATTGTGCAACTGTTTTTACCTTCTAATCGGCTTCCATTCTATAATTTTAATTACCTATTCTACTTTTACCTTCATCCAATTATGTTTTCTATCGATCTATCTCTTTTGTGTTTGGATTCAGTATTGTAATAATAACTTTTTATGCCTCATTTTAAATAGCTAAAACAAGTTACCTTCAACAGTATGCTTAATTGATTATGAGGGGAGTCAAATTTATGTGATGTCACAAACATTTGAAAATGAAGGATGTTTAATGTATGAAATTAACAATGTAATGAATCTGTATAATTTAGAAGTAGGAGGTTGAGTTTATTTAATTTTCAAAGGTGGTGATAAATTTAAAATTAAGGTAATGGACTTGAACTTCATCAAGATTGAATGTGCTAATCCTGCTAAAATTCTTGATCTTTAAATATGTCCATCGACACGAGACTTCCGAGGCAGCAAGATTAGATCGTTGTTATATATAATTAGTGTGAAAAAAGACACTTTTTGTGTATTTTTTAAAAATAAAAAGTTTTAAAAAAGTAAGTAGTTAATAATAAAATTTTGAGTAAATATAATTATAACTTATAAGGGTTGATTTTGAAAAATAGTAAAAAGAAAAAGAATAGTGATCAGAAAGGTGATCATTGGAATAAAGTTATTTAAGAAATGTGTATATCAATCTCTTTATTAATAATATAGACGTAGGAAATTCTATAACCTCTCATTCTAGTTGGCTAAACTAACTAATAATCATATTAAAACAAACAATATGGTATTTATCTTACTACCAAATTTAATATATCATTATATATAATACTGTATTGTATTAATTTTTCTTAACTCCATTGTTTCTTATAAAAAATCTTCCCAACCATTTTGCTCGACTATTAATTTATTTAAAGAAACAACATGAAAAGTTTGCATTGCACATATAAGAGAAAGAGTGAAGAAATTTTAAGGAGAGTCCCGGCGAGACACATTTGAAGGCTGAATGAATTTTTTTTTGTCAAGCTAATAAATTGACTTTAATGTTACATGCACAAATCCTTTGAAGATACAACTACGCATCTCATCGATACGAAGATTAGGAAAAAAAATAAAAAAATTATCATGTTGTTTAACAAAAATTTGATGTAACAAGCCTTTTGATCCGGCTCGATAGTTTGGTAATTGTAAGGCTTGTTTTAGGATGAGAGTTAATTTGGTGTTTTTAAATTTAATTTTCTCTAATATTAAAATAATATTAGCTCATCAAAAGTCAAGTATCATGAGTTTAAATTAGTCTTTAATTATTAATTTTGAGATATTATGTAAAGGTTTATGGACCAAAACATAACCTATTTGAATTTTATGTACTTCTTTTTTTGAAAATATCCTATTTTATATTTGCATACAATTGTTGTTTTAATTTTAGTTATATTTGATACAATACATTCAGTAATCATTTTACTTTTTTTTTGTTATCAATTAGTATTATGACATGCATTTTTATCAATTTTTTTCTTAGATACTTATTTTATAACTTAATTTTTTTAATACATATTATCTTATAAAATAAAATATTTAAAATCTCGTGCATCACACGGTAACTCAACTAGGTTAATTATAAATTAATAAATCAACATAATGCAATAAATTTAAAATATTATTATTTCAAATAAATACATCCAATCTAATAAAAATAAGGAATAGACATCCCATTAACCATTAGGAAATTTATTTTATTTTTTATCATGACAATGGTAAGAGTATTAGTCTCTAGAGCCCTAGATTATAAGGGTTTTTTTTCTTATTATTAAACTCAAGGCTCAAATTCAACATTTTGATATTTAAAAACCAATTGCAGTAACAGTCAGACCAAATGATAGTAACAAATATTATTTTTATTGAATAAAAATTGTAAATTGAGTTCATTAAACAATCTAATTTGGTAAAACTTAAAAGATAGCTTATTCTGACTGATTGAATAAAATTCAATTTACAATTCAAAATGAGATAAAATTCAAAACAACAGTGATCGTGGTTATTTAAAAAATCAATTTATTAAGATTGTTTGAAATTATGATGTTCATTTGCTGGGGCTATAGAATTGGTCAAAACATGAATGGAGGAAAGCTCTCAAGAGAGTGATTTAACTCACAGGGTTGATTTATGAGTAAATATGATAGACAGTTACATTGCAAAATACTTTATACTATCATAAATTTTATTGGTTGAGTATTTATACTAACAATAAATACATGTTAAACTCTTAAATTATTCATTTATTTCAAATTTTGCAGTAAGTTGCTTGGTGGCTATATAAAAATAAAAAATCCGGCGCCAATCTTGGGCCTTCGTTGTTGCATTTGCACGTGAGGCCCATACTCTATGGTTTCAACTTTTTGTGTTTTTCTTTTATGATATACTTTTTCTTTTCCCTTCTGAATTGTGCATATTAATAATAATTGCTGCTTTTGCTACTTACTACTTACTAGATGGCAGCAAGGGAGGCTATAGAATAAACAAAAGCAGACATAATTGTTAATAGTCTTCTCCTCCTTTGTCTATATATATTAACTCTCTTGTCTCTCATTTTACATATCACACAGACACAATCGCCACCACCATATAATACATATTTACACACACTCACAAGCATTCTCTTCCTTCATTTAGTTACACATAGTTCTTCATCTCTTCTTCAAGAATACTTCCTTTCACTTCCACTCATGGGAGACAATGTTGTAGTGTCCAACATGGAGCTAGAGAGGTTGCTTAGCATGAAAGGAGGCAAAGGAGAGGGTAGCTATGCCAACAATTCCCAAGCACAGGTACCCTCCATCCCTTCTCTCTTCTCACCATTTACAACCAAAATCAACCCTCCAAGCCCACCTTTTACATGTTTTTTCTTTTTCTTTTAGATACCCTCAATGTAAGATTTTGATATTTAGATATTCATACATGTAAGCATACATACAAGTATATACATAGAGAGAAAAACAAAATTATATACACACTAATAATGTAAAGTCTTTTTATAATAATTATCTTGAAAATTATGCCAATAATGATATCTGATTAATTCACAATATAATTTTTTTTATAGTAATAATATATAATCATTAAATCCATATGTGTGAAATATATTAATTAAGTGAGAATTACTCTCATAAAATAATTAATAATATTAATCATACAATGTTACATGATTTAATGGTGAGTAAATTATTTTTGTATAGGTTATTATTACATTAGAAGTTTTCATGAAAACATTTATCGTTTAATTAACATTATGGTATCTAATCATACATGTCAATATGTGTAATAGAATGATGATATATTGTGGCAATTTTTTTGGTATGTGATGAAATGCAGGCCATACATGCCAAGTCCATGCATCACCTTCTGAAAGAAGCCCTAGATGGAGTTCAACTTCAAGCCCCTAACATCCCCTTTGTGGTGGTGGATTTGGGGTGTTCATGTGGAAGCAACACCATCAATGTGGTGGATGTGATCATCAAACACATCATCAAACGCTATGAGGCCTTAGGATTGGACCCTCCTGAGTTTTCAGCTTTCTTCTCTGACCTTCCTAGCAATGACTTCAACACCCTCTTCCAGCTACTTCCTCCCTTAGCCAACTATGGAGTTAGCATGGAGGAGTGCCTCGCCGCCAACAACCACCGTGCCTACTTTGCCGCCGGCGTCCCCGGCTCGTTCTACCGGAGACTTTTTCCGGCGAGGTTCATTGATGTTTTCCACTCAGCCTTTTCCTTGCATTGGTTGTCTCAGGTAATTGACTCTTGTTAATCAAAAGTTGTAACACTTTTTATATATAATACTTAATTTTCAACTCTTTATGATTGAATCTTATTGGACATCTATGTAAAGATGTCTTAGAGTGATGAGGACATGCATAAATTAATAAACTCAGAATAAGTCTTTCTCTTTATTAATTTTTTTGTCACATTATTCATTTTTTATTTCTTTAATTTCTCTCCTAATTGTAGGAATAATTGTTAATTGGTACCATTCTCTCTCTCTCTCTCTATTTTTGTCTTTTTCTTCACTTGATATTTTTCATTTGAAAGTTCATCATTATTCAGTTTAAAGTAATTATCTCAAACTACTGTTTTGTTTTTGTTATGTTTGTTTTAAAAGAAAAAGGTAACATGAATATTTTCATTTTTAATCCTAATATCTTTCATTAAATTAATCATTTTGCTTTTGAACGTTTTATTCCACCTGAACCATTTGATATCACAAAATTAATAGTAGATTTCAAATCATGCTGTTACTTTTCTTTCTTTTGTAAAGCTTTTGATTAGAATTTCAACTTAAAGGTACCATAAATTTCTTGAAAACTTTAAGTGAATAACGATTACATATTAGTTTGCTAAATACTTCTAACCATTTTCTCCCTTTAATGACTTTCAAAGTCTCATTCACACCCCCACCCCACCCATCAAAGAATCTATTTACTAGTCTCTATGCAGCAATTTCTACGACAAATTAAAAACAAAAAAATATATATTTGCCACTTCCCGAGGATAGCATAATAAAACTGTTACATGTGTATTGCATTAGTTTGAAGGCCAAAGTCTTAACTTATGGTCAAAAGTCGATGCAACAAAACCATGGTCTTTAAAGCCATTATTATTTCAGGATCATAGTGACGTATTTGGACTATAATTTTCAATGCATGCATAGTAATTAATTAAGCACATAACCTTATTCAACTCCATGCATTGTCATTTTTAAATAATTTATAGCATCTGGGCCCGGGTGTATTTTTTTCAGGAAAAAACTTATTAGGCATAGTTAATTTTTTTTTTTTTGTTTTTTTTTAATGTTATTGTTCTATCAGAATTTGTGTTTCACTCCACTAATCTATGTTGACATCATACAAACTTTTTCTATGAGCTGAAAAATCTAATTTCGATTAGAAAATAGTAATAAAAACATCTAAATAATTGTATTTAAATCAAACTCAAAACAATTAAACCCTTTAAATTTTGGCCAATTGGAGAGGTTTAGATTAGAAATTATAAGAATTTAGGTTCGAATTCTGGTGTCATTATTAATTTTGATGGATATATTTTTTTAATTTTGTTGTTTTCTTAATTAATTACCAACAGAGACTATACTACTTGTCTTAATGCACTACTAAATTTTACTTTGGTTTGGGGCACAGGTGCCAGAACCTGTTATGGACAAGAGGTCAAGTGCTTACAACAAGGGCAGGGTGTTTATCCATGGTGCTAATGAGATCACAGCAAATGCTTACAAAAAACAATTCCAAACTGACTTGGCAAGCTTCTTGAGCTCAAGGTCAGTGGAATTGAAGAGAGGGGGGTCCATGTTTTTGGTTTGCCTAGGCAGAACTTCTGTGGATCCCACAGACCAAGGTGGGGCTGGCCTCCTCTTTGGGTCCCACTTTCAGGATGCTTGGGATGATCTTGTCCAAGAGGTAATTATTCATATTCACAACATTTTTATGAATAATGCTTTTGTGTCAAAATAGTGCATGCACATCACAATAACCACATAGCCTAGTGCATTTCTCATTGGCAGACCAAAAAGGACTTTTTAGACACATTAGGGCGATGAAAAGAAAAGAAGAGAAAAAAAGACATTAACAATCGATTGTTGTAGGCGTCACAATAATATAATAGGTAATTATTGTCAATTTTCACTTCACAATTGTAATGATTCAAACGAGTTGATCTCAGCCGTTTGATGGCCACCCAAGTTGATCAACGTAGCCATCCTGACATTCATCATCATGTCGGCAGAAATAATAATTAGGTGGTAGCTAGCATAATATTAGCCAACAATTAGGTTTTGGATGTTTAGAACACATAAAATTATCATCGTATCTTAAAGCAAGACAACAAGGATATGTTACCATTCATCTCATCTATTTTTATCAAATGATTATTTGTATGTACAATGAATGGAGCCAAAGACGAAGTCATGTACATTATCCTCTACCATAATGTGTTACTCATCCAATAGTCATTAAGAGAGTACAACTACAGTGACACCTTTCTAATAGGACTCTACATTCTGTACGTCGCTCATAAAATAGGACCTTTCTCTAAGTCACTTTTGCTGGGCGCGCAAACCTCTTTCATTCAAAGCAAAAACTTCAATGTAATTTACCAACCATTTAAATGAAAAACAATTTTTATTTTTTCAATACATTGAATGTTGTACTTTATATTAAATACTTTTTAATTTTTTTCATTGCTTACACTCTTAACTGAACCAAAACTTTGATTAAGGGGCATGAGATCATTGGTGTTCTGTTTGCAATTTGGGTTTAGAATGGTCAATCGTCTCCTCTAAGCTCTTTCAACCAATCAAAGCATATAGCATCTCCTTTTATATATGTTTTTGATATTTTAAGTTAATTATGAAAAATTATTAAGTAGTACAGGAATATTAATTAATAACATTTGATTACATATTATGTAAAAACAGGTTAGGAATGACATAATTCAGAAGCATATATATGATTATTTATTCTAAGGTACATGGACTAAATCATATTCTTAATGACAGGGACTAATCAGCAGTGAGAAAAGAGACAGTTTTAACATTCCAGTTTATGCACCAAGCCTGCAAGACTTCAAGGAGGTGGTTGAAGCTGATGGTTCATTTACCATTAACAAGCTTGAAGTTTTCAAAGGGGGAAGCCCTCTTGTGGTGAACCAGCCAGATGATGATAGTGAAGTAGGGAGGGCCTTTGCTAACAGCTGCAGGAGTGTGTCTGGTGTCCTTGTTGATGCTCACATTGGTGACAAGCTCAGTGAGGAGCTGTTTCTGAGAGTGGAACATAGAGCCACAAGCCATGGAAAAGAGTTATTAGAGCAACTACAGTTCTTTCACATAGTTGCATCCCTTTCTTTTGCTCTATGATAAGAGACAAAGGATCTGTTTAGATAAATTTCTGCATGAATACTTCTAAGAAAAAAAAGATAAGAAAAAAGAATAAAATAAATTTTTCCATAAGTTATAATTAGCTTATGCACAAGCTAATTTATGATTTTTACAGATTAACTTATGAAGAAATTTATTTCATTTTTTCTTATTTTATTTTTTTAGAAGTATATTTAAATAAGTTTATCCAAACAGGTCTGAAAAAGGCCCTGAAGAGGACAAAGGAAAAGGGCTTATCTAGTTCTCTTATTATCCCTCTCTTTCTTTTGTGTGTTGTTATTTGCACTTTTCACTGCATAGAAAGAGTCAAAACACACATGAGAGAGACACAAAAGAGGGTTCAACACTTACTATGCTATCTCTAATTTTCTCCCTCTTATGAGTGTTTTTGTGTGTTCCTGATGACAGTAGCTACTTTCTACGCATCATGTGCTTTCTGACTTGTGTCCCCTTGGATCTAAACTATGAACGCTTTCTTAATAGCTTATCATAGTGCGAATGTACATGTCCATATTTTGTGAAAGTAGCATGAATTCAACGGTGTGCCTTCTGTACCTAACAAACTGGAGTGTCGAATATGCCATTTGTTGAATCACCTTTTTTCTTTTCATGTGCTTACCAATAACATTTTGTCTATTGTATAGGAGGCATATCAAACCATATCAGAACGCAAGAAGTGAGAAAAGTTAATCTTATCATGTATGTAAGATTGAGTGGTATTGGTCAAAAACTAAAAATTATCTCTTACTCGTTCTTTCATATTTGTGTATAGGAAGTGTGTATCAGATGAAAGCATAAAAGGAACTGATCTGTACCATATAACCATAATGAAGTTAAGATTAGATTTAAGTAAATCAGTATTGATTATCCATATAAGGTTGTATGACTAACATAATAACATTAACTCCTTTCACAAACACATCCAAACTAATAAGTCAATATCAAAAAAAAAACAAAACTAATAAGTGGATAAATATTAGTTAGTAAAGTGCTGTTATAATTGAAATGTGGAAAACATGCGGTTCTCTTTACAAAGGCTTTGAATTATTCTTTGTTTTCACATGTTATATATAGAAGCATATTAACCATATTTTTGTGCTATTCTGAGTAGAACAAAACCTTGTATACATTATATATACATATAACTTTTAGAGAAAACCTCAGTAAAAGAAGTGATGAACACAAAACAGCATGACCAGAAATCCTCTAGAACAAACCAGAAAATATCTGGAAAGAAAGAACAAATTATGCAAAAAGAAAACAAGTTAACATCAGCTGACTCATATTGAAATTTCCTTTAAAAAAAAGGGTATTATGTCCTTTAAATGAGAAACAGGAAAAAATATCTATCCAAAGGTACCACACTCCACTAAAAGGGCACAATTTCAAGGCTTTTTACACTCCTCACCAAACCTCCACATTAAGTTGATAGAAGTTAATTTGGATGTTAAACAAATTTGACATTTTAAATGCTATAGATAGACATGTCTCTACTAAATTCACAATTCATGTTGAATCAGAAGAAAGAAACTACTGTACCACAAATCACTCTTTAAAATCCTCTACTGGGGTATACAAAATGATAATATTTGACTCTTGTGTCCATTTAATCTTTTTTTATTTCTTGATATTTTGTCAATAAATTAAACCCCATTTCTTTTACATCAACGTCAACCATCAACCTTTTCAACTTTCAAAGGTTTATTCAGAAAGAAAATTTAGTGCCGAGACAGAGGCATAGTTTTAAGGAAGTAAAAGAGTTTTGGTGGAGAAGAATAAAAAAAAAAAAAAAAATTCAGTGAGCTCACTTTAAATTTGATGTATTCATTTGGTTTTAATGACACATGTACAAAGAGTATTTATAGATACACAAGTGACTCATCTAATGTTCTGATTGTAATTTCACTCGCAATATTTAATGTACATATTAATCACAACTGATATAAGTAAGAGATTTGAAATAATGAAACTGCAAGTTCTTATAACTTAATAACCATTCACCAGCATCACTATTCCAAAGAAAAACTGTAGTCACTAGTCAGAAAAACATGCAATTACTTTCTGTAGATACTGAAGGGTGATCATTGTCAAAGCAAGGTTTAAAAGTCAAAACTGTAATAATATCCTTTTCCAAATTTGTTAATTGTATAGAGCTCTCTTCTAATATGCAAATAAAAAAATTGGGAATGCAATTTTCGCACCCTCAATTTACATGCATATATACATCAATGGTATTATGGTCCGTCTATGTTTATATATATGAACCATGATAAACGTTTTTTCTCCCTAAAAGTGGTCAACAATTTAGTTTCTAAAATCCAGAAAATGTCAAATAAGTCTTTAGAATATTAAATAGGTCTTTAAATTTTACTATTTATTATTATTTTGGTCTTTGAATATATATATATATATATATATATATATATATATATTATCATTTTAATCACACGTTACATTTTCTTAATTTTAAGAACAATTATGATAATACTTTCCAAGTTTAAGGACTAAAATGTCTCCTTACATCTTAGTATTATACTTCTTCTGGTTCTAAATATAACAAAAAAAAAAAAAATCATTTGTTCTAATTAAGGAACATTGTTTACATTATTTAATTTTTTTAATTTTATCTAAAAAATAATTTATTTTTCTAACTATCTTTCTTTGAAATCTGATATCAAAAATTAAAAAAAATATTAGAAATAAATTATCTCAATTAAATGAAAAGGTATTTTAGAGATAAAAACATTAAATAGAGTGAAATTAGTTAAAATTTATTTATATTTAACATCAAGTATGATATTAATTTCTTTTGCTTATATTCAGAATCAGAGAAAGAATATATGAAGAATAAATTATTAATTTTCTTAAATTAATAAATTTATACAAGTAGTCCATAAAGCATTGAAAATCCATTAATTTAGTTCATACATTGATATATTTTACTAAGAAACTAATATGAAGAAATTTTCCATATTTAGATGATTTTATAACATTATATCTAATAATTTAGTGACTACTTATATGATTTAATTATTTTAAAGACTACTTAGAAAAAGATAATACTAAATTGTTGATTTATTCATTATATATGAGGGAAAAAAAATGGAATTGGTACATTAGATGACCTAGGCAAGATGAAAAATCTCAGGTACTTTAAATATGTACAGATTGAAGATAAGGAGTCAGCACCTCAATATTTGAAACAAACATTTAATCAATGACCCAGTATAGATGACTCTTGGTGGTCCATGTACTGTGGAGATTCCTTAGCCTTTCAGCCTGATATAAAGTTTTTTTGTCTTGTTTTCCATGAACTTTTGTGGTTATACCTCTGGGGTAATGTCTAGAATGAAGAGCCACGATCCACTAGTGTGGTCCTCTGGATTGGGGAAGATATTTTAGAGGTCAAATGTTCTACATTTGTAGTAGTTCATGTAAACTAAGTTTTAAGCCCGAGTAGAATTGATTAAATAAGTAATTGGACTCACAAATGTGTGAAAAGAGTGTTATTATTAATTAATTGAGTGTATTAAAGGATATTATTATACCACATTAAACATAATTAGAGCTTAAAAACCTTTAGTTTTTATAGTAGTTTTTATCCTTTAAACAAAAAAAAATGACTTAAAAAGTACACCATAACTATTGGATACTAAAATATGCAGAGATGGATTGAAAATAATATAGTTCATAAGGTAAGAAAGACAAAAAGGAGGTGATAAGAATGTAACAGGCTCACTTGTCTCTCAAAAGGGTATATAGGCTTTATCAGAAGGGCAAAATGATCCGCATGCAACGTAACTACGCATCCTGGACCATAAAAAGGGAGTGATTATATATATTATGGTTCCCCAGTGCAACAAGGTGTAGCAGCTTTGTTCAATAATGGTTCCCTCAAAGCAATGAAGTTGGGAGAGAAGATTCTGCTTGTTTTGTTTTGGATGGATTCAATAAGATAACGAGTAAGCACCTGGGGTTGCATTGGTATCAGAATTTTGGAGGATAGTTGATTCTTGTTCACTCTTTCAAGAGCCAAAACATGCAAACACTGTCACTGTGTACTAATGCAGCCACAACATGCATGAGTTCTTGCACTTGTCCGACATCATTATAAAAAGTAAACAGACAGCAGAATCATAATCCTTCCATTCAACTTGCCAAAATATTAACACTAAATTCTAGAAGGATAGATGCAAAGGAAATTATTTTATTTTGTCAAAATAACTCAAACACTTTGTTTACAGAAAAAGGAATTATGACAGTAGTTTACAATGTTTTTCTTAATGTTACACCTATTTATATCAATAAAAATGGATCTCTCTAACATCGATAAATTAATGAGATTAACACAGGCTGTGATGTAGATATATATAAAATTTTCATCCAAATCATGTTTACTGAATTTCCTCACACACTTCTATTGCATGCTGAATTAATTAATTAATAACTATTTACCAAAAAAATACATGGAAGTAAATAGTTGAAACTCCATGAAAAATCTCTCTCTAGGTTTAAACCGCATACAACAAACTCCTTTTCCATCCAAAAATTTGGACTTAAAGTTTAAGTTAATTCAACAAAATTGTTTGTAAAATGAAGGCTGCCATCTTATAATATAAATACTACGTTAGACATATCTCTAATAGAAGTCATAAATCTCCCCCTTAGGGCCATTTATCACATAATGTTCTCTATGGAATCATGTTAATCATCAAAGGTTACATAGAAGGTATATATGATTTGGTTCAATTTTTTAATTGAAATTCACTTATCATTGGATCACTAGACATATATATACATATACTAGTATGCAATAAAAATTAACAAAATCTATAGCAAAATAACACATTGCCTCCCCTCAAAAAAAAAAAAAAACACATTGCCTAAATACTTCCATAAATTCATAAAACACATTTCTAATTTCATAAAATAACGCATTTTACGGAAAGCAAATCAGGACAGGTAGGTTTTTTAAACGTGGATTCCAACTTTTTTAAGGGTGTGTATATTTATTATTCTCCTCCTAATTGGATTCATTTTCTTTTACTAGCAAATAATTCTATTGTTTCTTTCTTTCATGATTTTTAATTTAGATTTTTAGACTCCTATTATATAAAAATATTCCATTAAGTCATAAAATAATAAAATCATTAGTTTCATAATTAAGAAAATGTAAATATATAAGGATTTTAATTCCAATTCTAGATTCTAAGTGAGAAAAAACAAATGTGTACGTTCTGGGATTTGTTGGCCTATAGGGCTACCCGAATTGAAATCTTTACTTCATTGCTCATGATATATGCATTTTCTTGTTTTTATAAGTACACATGTTTTATTTTATTTTATTTTAAAAAAAATTCTAAAATATCCTTAATCATTTATTACTTTTTTTTTTTTAATTTTACACCTTCAACTTTTAATTTAACACTTTTTTTTCACATACTTATTTCTCTCTTTTTTCAGTTTTCACATACACCTCCTTATCTTTCTCTCACTCTCTACTTATTTTAGTATGTTGTTTAATCTTTTCGATTTTTACATTACTCCCATTTTCCTTCACTTCTTTCAATTCTCACATGCACCTGAATTGTAGAATTGGTGCGTGTTGAGATTATAAACATTTGCGGCTTTCTCGACACTTTTGAAGGTACATGGCCAGATGGACATTTTTGCTTCGACATTTTCTCACCTTTCACACTTTCAAAAACCTTAACATTAAATTTAGTATTTTGAAAAGTATTTTTTGGAATTGTGTTCTTTTACATATTTTTAGAAAATATTTTTTGAAATAGTAAATTTAGTATTCTTTTTGAAAATATGTTAAAAAACAATTTCCAAAAATACTTTCCAAAATAATAACTTTACTATTTTGAAAAGTATTTTTCAAAAAATTAAAATTATTTTGAATATTAGATTTAATATTGTGCTTTCTAAATATGTAAATATGAAAAAGTATTTGGAGAAAAAATGCACATTAGACTCAACATTTTCAACATTATCGATAAAGCCACATAAGCCTAAAACTTTGTCAAGCACTGATTCTATGTTTTGGATGTGTGTAAAAACTAAAAGAGAAAGACAGAGAAGGTGATAATATGAAAACTAAAGGAAAGATGAGAAAAAAATAATGTAAAAATCAAAAGAATTAAAACTATCTATTTTATACTAAAATAGGTGGAGAGTGTGAGAAAGATAAAATAATGCATATAAAAACTAAAAAGATGAAAAAAGGAGATGTGTGCAAAAGGAGAAAGTGTTAAATTGTTCACATTAAAGATGTAAAATTAAAAATCATAAAAAAAGATATTTTAGGAATTTATTAAAAAGATAATAAAAGACGTGTACTTATATAAATAAATAAAGATGAAGAGAAGGAGGAAGTGAAGATACATATATCATCAGCCCACTTCATTTATGTTTGGGCCATGGAATATGTTCTGTTGTTGCTTGTCTTAACTGCCAAATAAACTATATTTATGTTGTGCTTTTTGTATAAGCATTTAGTTGCTTTCTAAATGTCAAGTAGACGATAATTTATTACATGCTCCCATACTATCATGTTATGTCTTTCTTTTTAGAAGAACTATCATGTTATGTTAATCTCCACACAACATAACACATAATCGAGTATTTTTTAAGTTAAATTATTTTTTTATCTTATTTTTTTAGATTTATTTTGATCATTTATTTATTAAAATATTCATTTTAATCTTTTATTTTTTTATATTTAAATCAATTTTGTCATGACTTTGAATCAATTTTTTTATTAATTTAAGATGTAAAACTTTTAATATTAGATTCATCTATGAAAACTATGAATACAATTGATGGTTAAATCCAAAAAAGTTATAAACATAATGAAAAATTGTGTAAAAAATATATTCCATAAACAACTAGAAGATAATATAAATTTTATTTTTTTAAAATTTTTTAATTTTTACCATGTTTATAACATATTTGATGTGAACTTCAATTGCATTCAATAATTTTTATATAAGTCAATCTTATGACACAAGTTTCAAGTTTTAAATTGGTAAAAAAAAATCAAAAAGACTAAATTGACCTAAATTTAGAAGATAAATGACCAAAATAAAAATTTTAAAAGAGAAATGACCAAAATGAATATAAAAATAAAATAAAAAACCAAAAGTATAATTTAGCATATTTTTAATCCATCATTTAGCTAGCTCCTAAACTTTTTAGGATTTTTTAAATTGGGTCCTTAAATAAAAAGAGCTGTAATTAAGTTCTTCATCTTTTTATTTTTTTTAATTTAGTTTTTGAGGTTTGAAATTTGTTTATGATTCATGAAATTTCACGAAATATACTTAATATATATATATATAGTTAATCATCCATACACTATTAGTATAAAGTTTTTTACACTGACAACCAATCATATTTTTTAAATTATTTTATTTTATTATTATTTTATTAAATAAGCAACTGGACATGACACTATTAAAAAATATAATTAGTTGTCAGTGTAAAAAAACTTTACACTGGCAGTGTATAAGTGATTAACTCAAGAAAAAATAAAAAATTAAATCATATATTAAACCTTTTTTTTTTTTATAAATAAACTCAATTGTAAAACACATACAGATTGACCAATATCATGATCACATAATGGTCTCGAACCATGTGATAAATTCTCCAGTAAACAAAGACATAGAATAATGTCGCATATGCAAAGTATGTAAAATGAATGTCATAGCAGTTAGCTCTGACTCATCAAACACAACTCTCTTTGTTATAATTCATTTTTTGAAAAGAAAAGAAAATCAAAACTTGAGGATGACTCGAGGCAAGACCATAAACTAAAACGATTGGATGGTAAATATATTGATAAAAAAAAAAAAACCATAATTTCGTACATATTAGGCCAAACATTGGATTAAAGTTGAAAGAAGCCAACGATGTAGGAACCTTGTGATTCAAAAGGCAAGACTATACCTACCATCATGTTTGCATTCCTTTCATATGAAAATGCGTCAATTCAAATGATAAAGCAACGTGTTCAAAAAACCTCTATATGGCACATATAAGATGCACATTTCAGAACAGTTCCTCTCCACTTACCTGTCAATAACATAGCATATTCATACAGCTATAACTAGTAACGTGACAATGATACAAACATCATATTATGGTGTTGAAAGTACATATTTCACTAGGGTGATGTTGGTACTGGTTCAGTACCAGAAACATGGGAAGCAGCATCTTCTTTTGATACTGATACATAGTTAAGGGTAGCAACTGGTCTAGTATTATCCCGTTTTCCATCTTTTGTTATGGATCTGCTTCCATTTTGGTGAGCATTAAGAGATAGCCGTCGGTTAGGAGTACCATTGGGACGAGGGCCAACTACCTTCTTGTTGCCAAGTGGCCTTGCAGGGCTAGGTCTTGAACCAAACACAGATTCTTGTTCTGTGCTTTGCTGCTCATGGTACCTTTTCTGGTCCTACAGAATATTATATGAACTCTTTTCAGTACAAGAGTATTCAGCAAATATAAGAATGAACAGACAATTAGAGATGTTCATGACTATTTTATTAAATCAGTTCAGTTTTTTCTAAAAATAGTTTTTTTTTTTTTCTTTTTCAAATTAGATTGATTTAGTGTAATTCAGTTATTCACTTTATAATATGGTTTGATTTTTCCAAAGATCCGAACCATATCGCTTTATAAAAGTAGTATAGTTATCCAAACTATTTTTACAAAGTGGTTTGCTTCAATTTTTTTGCACACACCTAATCGAAAGAGACAAACTTGGCAGTTCATTTTTACCAACTGGCTGATTTGAAAGTGCTCAAATTAGTTTGAAAATCAGTTGTTCTAATCATAAAATCGATGAAACTTACCCTCATCCTTCGTTTTTCCTCTTCCCGTTCATGCCTGAGCATAGCATATTCATCCAACATAGCAAGAAGAGGAACACCATCGTATGTAAATGACATGTCATGTACTTCTTCCCAAGCACGAGTTTTAGCAACCAATGTATCAACCAAAGCTGCATTTTTCACCCAAAATAAGAATAAGATCATTATTTGCTCATGCATGCCAAGAAACCGTGATTTACACTACTATCTGCCAGACAGCCACAGATTACAAGTTCATGTAATTCCATCTTCCACCAAGTCAATTGTTTTAAGTTCAAGAAAATATGAATCAATGCAATGTCCTTAGTTATCAAATCAAGACAATCCAAATGATAACAATCCATCTTGACTAGTATAAAGTACAATACTCCCTCTGTTTCATTTTGTAAGACATTTTAGCAACAACAAAAATTGTTCTATTTTCTTTGTCATTTTACAATATATGTAAATTTCTTTATATCCTTAACTATTTATTGTGGAAAGAAAAAATAAAAAAAAGAAGCATAGATGAGAGATAATCTAATTAATATGAAAGATAAAGGGTATGTTAGAAAAATCACATAATAACTTTTACGAAATTTGAGATATTAATTGCATTCCTTAATACCAGGGCAAAAACCTTAAACCTCAAACAAAATGGAATGAACTATGAAAAGAAGTCTATTTCACAAAAAAAAACAGTTACAAGTGAAAATGTTAAAATATATTTCATGATTCATCCAAAATTTGAAAATAATAATGGTAACAAATTAATTTTGAATGAATAAAAAATTTTACACCATCATTTTGGCCATACAGAGCCACCAATTCAAAAAAATTAAAATCTGTTATTACAATTGAAATATTTTGCCACTCCAATGATATTTCACCTTCTTTTGAGCTAATCATGTAAGAAGTTTTATTCTGATAATGGATCAAATAGATACTAATAGAGTAATAGTTTCTGATGGTTGTTTATGTTCATTTAACAAATACCTGGAATTTTGTTCACCAATATCCGAGCTTTCTCTGCACGTTTGAGGTTTAAGTGTGCACCTCTACTTGCATTATACCTGTTTTCATCCTGTTTTACAATGTAGTGTCAGGGGAAATCAACAATTCAATTGAGGAGCATAATGACAACTGTTTGTATATAATGACAGTCAATTGTGAGAAATGCTAAAGCTAAATCTCATATACTTTCCTACATGGCTACAAGAGCCGGCCCAACAATGACGGGTACCTCAAACAAAATTTGAGAGAGGCTTTTATACTTAAAATAAAAGAATTGTATGTTGGACGTTTTATCAATATATCTGGCCTTTTTTGCTTCACAAAATTTAATAGCAAATAAATTTTAGTTAGTGAGTCTAAAACTTGAGTTTTAGTAACCTTACCCTTGAGCCGGCCCTGGCTACAAGGAAAAACACTTTGCTTATCCAATCAAATTGGAAATCATGCAGACTCAAAGATTGTGCACTATAAAATAATTTAAGGTCTGTTTGGGTAAATTTCTCCAAAAACACTTCTAGGAGAATAAAATAGAAAGGGGAAATAAAATAAACTTCTCCGAAGTTAAAATTAACTTATGCCTAAGCTATTTTGTAAAAATTTACTTCCGTATAATCTATTTTAACTCGTACATAAGCTAGTTTTAACTTATAGAGAAGTTTATTTTGATTTTTCTTCTCCTAATAGTGTTTGTAGAGAAGTTTATCCAATCAAATCCTTAGTACCAAATATTACGTTGGTTGTTAAACCCAAAAGGTTACATTAAAGATCTACCAGAAATAAATGTCTTGAATAGAAATGAAATTAGATTCTCACCTAATTTACTCGGACTGAATTTCATTGGAAAAAAAGGTATAATAGAATCTTTAACCCTTGTCTTATGGGAAAGAAGAGTAAAATGGGATATTTGACACTTGTCTATCAAGTTAAAGCAAAATTCATTAAAACGTGAGGGGGTATGCTAGTCAAAAAGTGCACAGTATTCTTGTAAAAGAACAACAAAGAAAAGCAAAATCAATGTATTATATAAGATGACATTAAAATTCCATTCTTGCTGACGCATTAAAATCAAATTGACAGTCAAGTAACATCATCATGTCTCATAAAGAAATTGTTGCCCTGGAGTGATATAATTCACCATTTTAAATTTTTTGCTTCAATATATCTGTCAAAGTTCTCATAACCATGATATCAGTTTAAAGGATTAAAGATTGTATTTATCCTAGATGTCAAGATCAAAATGGTGCTATTTCAACTTTCCAACCAAAGAAGTAACCACACAACTCAAATATAGAATGAAAATGGTTGATTGTAAATTTATAAGTACCCTATTATAGTCATCAAGCCAACTCTCTTCTTCACATGCTGACATCCATTTCTCAACCTTGTCCAATATGTCTTTTCGGCTTAAAGCTTCTTCTTTCGCTGCAGCTATCTGTTTGTCCATGTCAGCCAGTAGTTCAGCTGGTTCAGTGTTTCCAGATTCAATCAGTGACAAAATCTTCCCTCGAACAGCTTCAGGGTCTATTTCGATATGAGCACAGGCATATATCTCTTCAAGCTCGTCTTGCTTCTTGAGAGCAATTTCTTTCATCCTGCTAGCTTTCTGCTGATCAAGCCTTTCAACTTCCACTTCAGCCTTCATAACACAAAAGCAAGATGAAAAAAAAAGTAAATTACACAAACATTCTCGAGGTTTCGAGAGATTGCACAAACACTCCCTAATTTTTCTAACTTTACAGTAGCCCTCTTAGAAAAACATTACACTAATATTCTTTAGGCATTACATTAATCCCCTTAATTATTTTAAAAACATTCTACTATCACCCCCTGTAAGAGGTTACTGTGAACTTTAAAAAAACAAGGAGTGTCGGTATAATTTACTAAAAAAGATAACAGTTAGCATCACTTATGGAACACAAGTCTGTAAACATAAGAAAGGCATTTGTACATGATTAATCAGATCCAGAGCAAGGGCACCAGGAACAGTGACTTCATCCACCGAAGTTGACTTATTACAAGTAACATAGTCAAATAGTCTCCTTTCCTCTGTAGGGGTGTCCATTAGATTCCACAGATCAATTAACTGAGAAGCTAATTCTTGGAGCTGCAAAGGATAATCGGGTTAAAGTCAAATATATGTACACACCCTGCTACTTATATAAGTCAAGCAAAATTGAATACACCATGTTTGCAGATGATATCGTCATTGCTGAGGTGCCAAAGTTAGAACTTATATACAGTAATTGGTAATATCATGCAATCATTAATAAAAACATTGGTTTGCCATAACTATGTAACACTCTTGGACCTGTTTGAGTAAGTTTCTCCATAAACACTTCTAGGCGAAAAAAATATGAAAGAAAATTAAAATAAGTTTCTCTATAAACTAAAACTATCTTGTTAGCTTGTGCATCAGTTAAAATTAAGATTTTGAATAAGCTAATAAAAGAAAACTTTATAAATTAGCTTATGGAGAATTTCATTTCGTTTTCTTTATATTTTTTCTCTCCTAAAAGTGTTTTTAGAGAAGTTTATCCAAATAGACCTTAAGTGAGATTGGCTACATGACAATGGAACAGACAACACCATTTGACTCGATTAAAGACCAAAGTTCAAAAAAAAAATTTCTTTTATCCATGAGAATTTAACTTGGTATTAAGAGAGTTAACACTAATTCGTAGTGCCTACTCAACCAACTAACCTAAACCCCTTATAAAGTTCAAAAGTTTGCACAAGGATGAATGTAGAAAATAAAACAACAAAAAAAATATGAATGAAGGAAACGAAAAAACTTAACTAACATGCTTTTTAAATGCATTACCTTGTGTAGCCTCTGCTTTTTATCTTCTTTCAATGTTGAGACTGTCTTAACCAGTTTAGCTAGTGTGCCATTGCTTATGCTTTTGGAATGAACACCAATAGACTCATTTAAGCTTGGATGAACTTCAGTGGCAATGCTGAAGAAGTCCATGCCAAGGACAGCACAAAGATCATGCACAGTACTCACATATTCAAGAACCTTGTGCAACCTCTCACTCTGCAAGGCAAAACAAAGTAGCAAAATCTCAACATATTGATTAGCAAATCAAACAAAACATTCATTTTATACATTATTTTATTATTTTTTTGGTCTATGAACATGATTCATGCAATATCCCTCTTAGAATAATGGATTTAAGCCTAACTCAACCCTACAAAACCAGCTTGTAAGTTGAGGATTGCTCTCCACTTATATACTCTTTAATTGCCTTATTTCTAGTCGATGTGGGACTTGGGTTTTTTCCAATACACCCCCTCACATCCAACACTATTGGGCTTGGTACGTGGATAAATGGTAGGTAGCCCTTTTTAATGATCTAGGATTGGTGGGACTTGAGTTTTTTCTCAATACACCCCCTCATGCCCATGGTACGTGTATCAATGGTGGATGGCTCATTTTAAGGATCTAGGATAACTCTGATACCATCTTAAAATAGTGGATTTAAGCCTAACTCAATCCTACAAAACCAACTTGTAAGGTGAGGATTTCTCTCCACTTATATACTCTTTAATTGCCTTATCTCTAGTTGACGTGAGACTTAAATTTTTTCCAATAGTCCCAAAACTAACAACCAAGGGCTAATCGACTTCTGCTAACCAATCATTATTTTAACATAGACAGAAAATTGATGCATTTTTTGATGGAATAGCAAGGTTACCTTTTCCCTTTGAAGTTCTTGGAGTTGGGATTGATATTCATCCAACTTCTTCAAGGACAGGTCAGACTCGTCAACTGCAAATGTTCCTGCCTGCTCAGGGTTCAAGTCCCCAGTTATCTCTGCACATATTTTTTGGATCTGTAACTGTACATCTGAAAACTCTTTTATTCTCTCCTCTTTTTGTTGCCATAACTGTTCCAGTATTGGTGCTATGGATTCAAGTTGTTCCTTAATAGTCCCTGAAGTCTTGTCAGGCTGCAAAGAAAACAAAATATTTTTTTTTCTCATTATTTTGTAGATAAGTATATTTCAAAAGAATAGGAGCTATATTATGCAGAGGAGCTTATCAAGCTTTTCTTTCTTGACTCTATATATAGAGTTAAATTCTAATAAAAATTCAAATCCTAAAAGATTGAAAACAAGTAGTTAATATCTTTAAATCTAACTAACATCATAAAGATTTGAAACACAAATAATAGATTCCTAAAAAAACTAAATTCCTTTTTTAAACAAAAGATATTTAGGCATATTCTTAACAAAATATGCAACAGAAAATTAGTTTACCAGTTTAGTATTTAAATGCATAATAAAGTTATATCTGCAATAGTTGGTTGCTGTCAATATTAGGACACATGACCGATATTAACAAGTCGTTAGCCCGAATGTAACTGAACTCGGTTCCCTAAAACCAAGTCTTAAATTTAAGTTTTGTAGATGAAAAAAACATAGTTAAGAGGAGAGTCCCACTAAAAGTAATCAATCAAGTTCTCTATCAAAGATTAGTCACCAACAAAGCTGGTGAATACTTTGCAAGAAGTTATCTCTATTCTTGGCTTCAACAAATTATGCAAAGAAAATCACTTAATTTAGCACGAGCATGAAAAATTGAACATTTCTCATCACAACCAATAACATGGTTATCAAAAAATAACTAGTTACTAACCATTTCCATGAAGTTGTTTTCACCAAGAGCCAATAGAAGACTAGAAAGCTCAATCTTAGCATCAGACAAGGATTGAAGTAGATGTGCCCTAGAATTATCAGCCTGCTCAACCTTTCTTTTGTACACATCCAAGCATTCTTGCTCTATCTGAAGGAGCATCTTATCTCGCTCCTCGTCGCTCTCACCAACCTCATCCCATATTTCCTACATTAAAAAATGATAACTTCACTGTTTTGTATATCATGCTTTTAAGAATGTGAAATTGGGTCTAACTTAACCATATAAAACCAATGACATCATCTTAAGAATGTAGAAATGGACTTAACTCAATAGTAAAGATTGTTTCTTACTTATATATTTTATTTTAATCATACTACTAGTCCACGTGAGATTTTTAACACATGCACATCTGAAGTAACCCATATTTAAAGCATAATAAAGTTACCTGCAACTTATTTAACAAGGAACCACAAGTATGTTCAGCAAGAAGAGGATTTTGAGCATCTGTCACCGCCATTGAAGTTCACGCACTACCTAGCCTGCACAAAAGGGGAAAATAATCATATGAAATTCCTTTCTCATTCCGCAAACACATCTACTTCTGAAAACAGACACAAGAAACAAGCAGGTATCCATTGATACATCTAATTCCACAGACAGAAAAACAGTAAATGGAAGTGTCTAAATGATGAATTCAAATAAGATTCTTATGAAAAAATGGCACATCAAAAATGTTCTAAACTGTTTTCTTAAAGAAATGATTCTACATTGTTAATTAAATGCATTGCATCTGCTAAGAAAATCTCCAAACAGATATATCAAACGCTCACGGTACTATCATTCAGTTACACAAAATAAACAACATATAGCTGACAGGACCACAACAAATGAACAAAATGAGTTAACCTTTAACCGAATGCACACGTGCAGAAAAACTATCTCTTCTCAGTAACTAGCAACAATCAAACCCACTTTTAAAGCTGCTAAATTTCACCCATTTCTGAAGCATTCTCCCAGTATTAAAAACAGAAAACAGAAAATAATTACTCCAAATTCAAAAGTGAACAAGAACAAAGAAGGATAACAATTCACAATCATCCTTGACTCTAAATGAACACAGTGACAACCTCAATGACAATGGAAACCACAACAATACAACCCCAGCAAGTAAAAAAGTAAAAATGTTGAACCACAATGCAGAATCCAGAAGTAACAAGTTACCACCTTTCATTTACGAAGTAAGAGAAGGAAATAAGTAGATCTTCTGGGTGTGGAAGATCAGGAGAAGAAGAACAGAAAAAGGGAACAGAAGAAGCAGAAAAGAAAGAGAAAATGTTTACCCAATTGTCCTTTCAAAGTTAAGGTGTTGAACTTTTGTGGTTTCATATCCAAGCATTACTCAAAAGCACACACACACATTGTAAGAAAGTGAGTTAAAGACAAAGTGTTTGTGTGAGTTCACTTCAGTGAGAAGAGATAAAAAAGAATCTTTGTATGCAATCTTTGTGTGCAAGGACACAGGACCAAGATCATCAGAGTCCAGTGCTGCAATTACATTATTGCCCGCGTCTGACACTGTGCCACATTGTTGAATAATAGAGTGCTTAAATTGATGAATCGAAACAAACAAATTGTGTCGTTTTATGCATGTTAAGGATACTTCAGTTGTTGATTAACGACGTGTGTTGGTTGATTCGAAGATTAATGAATTGTTGTTTCAAAGTTACTGACTCGCTCATAAAATCTGACTTCTCTATCATTAACTAGTGTCACAGTGCCGTGAAAATTTGGTATGCTGCTAATTAAAGTATCAACTATTTCTCATCGCATATCATTAAATTGTTGGCAACTTTTGTTGTGTGAGTTGTATGTGTATAATTTAACATCCATAAATTTTTAAAATTATTAAAAGAATATTTTGATTAATTAAAAATTATAAAATATTTAGAGACTTTTAATAATTATGAATATTTTAATTAAATAATAAATATTTACAAAAATTATTTTGTAATGTTTTTATTAAAAAAATATGTGCTTTATGATATTTGTTTATAATAAGTATTTAGAGAAAAATGTGTTTTTATTATGATTTTTATTGTTTTTATATTTTATTTTAATTATAATTGTGTTGGGTGAAATATATATTTTATATATATACATATATTTAATAATTATTTTATTTGTATATGGATATAATATAAGTTTGGCTAAAACTCTATTTTGGTCCCTTATATTAATTGTTTGTTTCAATTTAGTCTCACTTTTATTTTTGGTTTCAATTTGGTCC